TGGGGGCGGGGAATGCTGCCGCTTGTGAGGTCACGTGGCCACCTGGTGGAGAAGCGTGGGAATGCATAGCTAGCATCCCCAGTAAAATCATTTGTTGGAGAACTAATGCCACCTGCTCTTCCAGCGTGAGTATGCATTGCCAGAATCTGGGGGGAAAAATTACTTGTGGGGAAAACTCTTTCACCTGTTGGATAAACGTGCGAATGCATTGCCAGCATCCCCAATAAAATCACTCTGTTGAAAATTACTGCAACATAGTGGACAAGTATGAGAATGCAATGCCCGCAAACCTAATAGTATCATTTATATGAAAATGGTGCTATCTATCGCACAAGCGTGAGAATGCTCTTCCAGACCCCATGAATTTATTTTGAATGCTGGGAAAGCCTCCTCCAGTTTCTCAAACTGGTGGCAGTTTATCCGCAATTAACTTATTTAGTGGAAAACAGCTGCCATCTAGTGGACAAGAGTGAGAATGCATTGTCAGGATTCACAATACGATCATTTGTGACATCATGCTTCCATCAGGTGGACAAGCATGAGAATGCATTGTCTGCATCCCTAATAAAATCTTTTGGTGGAAAAATGCAGCCATCGGACGCACGAACGTGCAAATGCATTGCCAGCATTTCCAATAAATTTATTTGGTGGAAAAATACTGCCACATGTTGAACAAATATGAGAACGAACTGCCTGTATGCCCAATAAAATCACTTGTGAGATCACCTTGCCATCTGGTGGTCAAGCGTGCGAATGAATGCATTTCCAGCATTTCCAAAAGTTTTATTTGGTGGACAAACATGATAATGCATTGCCAGCATCCCCAATAAAATCATGTGGTGAGAAAATGCTGCCTCCTTGTGGACAAGCATGAGAATTCATTGTAGTATTCCCAATAAAAATTTTCGTGGAAAAGTGCTGCCACTCGTGGACAAAAGTGAGAATCATTTGCGAGCCTCCCCAATAAAATGATTTGGTCCAAAATGCTACCACCTGGGACTCAGAGGCTGATTCTCTAAGCAAAATACAGTGTGCTTATACTTCTGGAGAGGGCAGCTGGTTCAGCTGTGAAACGCATTGTGAAGTCTCCCACCTGGTTGCCTGCTGTCAATCTGTGAGCTGACTTCCTACAGGGAGGATACTTGCAAAGCCACCATCCTTTAGGACTGAGTGCTGCACATTTAGGCCCTTGCTCCCAAGGCCCTTTTCTCAAACTACCTTATCTCCCTCGGTAAAACGGCAAGACCCAATTCAGTGGATTTCCTCTTAGTTCTTCCTCCTCCCTACACTCCACACACACGAAGAATTCTGGCTTGTGATACCACACAAACGCATAAGCTACCCACCTCTGCAATGTACAGGCCCAGCCCTCATAAGGACTGGTCATTCCCAAGCAGCCAATTTTAAGGCCCAAACCAATGCACAAACAGCGCACAGAAAGGCACAGTTGATGTTCTTGATTTATCTTTCCCAAGGTACGAACAACACACAGACAAACACAGCTGATGCTCTTGCTTTTTATTTCTGTCTCATTCCATGCTCTGGATGTCTCTGTATCTGAATGCCTTGCTGCAGGGACATTCTGCACCTATATCCTTTGCAAGAAAAGAATGTTTTCTTGAAAACACATATTTATCTGAAAAAGCTTCTCCTGTGCACTACTCCAATTGGAAGTAAAATGGACAGTCCCTCCTATTTACCTCACACTGTGGGAGGTCCCCTGAACACAAAAAACCTCGCATGGCCTCCTCTGAGCATTACTAAAGAGTGCTAAATAATCATTCCAGGAGAGTGTTGCAACTGTGGTCTCTTAAGTTTCCTCCATCCTTGTGTTCAACGTGTCCCACCCTTTGTGATGGGTAGTGTTCTCGGCATGGCCCAGGTAGGAAGAAGGAGACACTTAAGGAATTATATGATGGATAGAGGGAAGTGGTGGCACAGCAGCCTCCGCCCTTGCATGAAGCAGCCCCCAAGCCAACTGTGGGAAGGGTTGAAGGGAGAACATCATGGGAGCCTCCAGTTAAGGAATAGTAGGCAGGCCTGAGGGTGGGGTTGGTGGCCTGGAGAGCGAGTTCAGAGGAGTGGATCAATGCATTGGCTTTGATTCTGAGTGACAGTGGAGACTCCCTCACCCTCCTTCAGCCTCCCCTGCCTGAACAGGATTGGCACTGCAGGGCTCCAGACTTCCTGTCTCATCATGATGCCCTGATGCCCTGGTGTCACAGGCTGCATTCCTCCCAGCCTCAGTGTGTCCATGTGAGAAAACCATGTCCCAGCTACCTGGCAACCAGGCACAACTGCCCAGCCAGCATCTCCTCCCCTGTCCTCCGCTACATCCTCTCTTTTGGTGCCCAATTCCTCACATAGTACTTGAAAGGATTGCCCCACAGGTCCTTACTGATGATCTGGTAAGGCAAACAGCGCTCGTCGGAAAGTTTCTGTTCTAATTAGAAACCCACCAGAACAGAAGCCCTCCTAGTTTCCAGTGTCTTCTTCACCAAGTCCCCACGTGGTGTCTGACATAGAGAGGTAGTCAAGATATGCTGAATGGATAAAAGAACAATAAAGATGTATTTGGCTCTTTAGACCTGATGGCCTTTAAGGTGCACTTGGAAGGATAGTGTGTTCAAGCATGGGAGGATACCTCAGGTTCACCAAAATGCTGGCTGTGATGGAAATTAGTGCACCAGTTAGTGGGCGGTGGGAGTTGTTAAGGTAGCTTCCAGGGAGAGGTGTGGCACCAGAGATGGCAACAGTGGGGAGGTCTTACCAGCCCCAGGCCTGAGGCTAGAGATTTTGTTGTCATGTACCCAGAAGAAGAGCTGTGTGCAAAGTGCTGCCCAATAGGCACTGTGGCTCAGAGGGCCGAGGAGAGCAGGACAGCGCACTCAATATGCAGAACAATCACTCACTCCTCTGCCACCTCATGTCATGCCTGGGCTTCCCACTGGCCCCACCCAACAGGAGACCGAGAACAAAGCAGCCTAATAATTCCTTCCATGGACCCGGAGCAGAGTGGAGAATCAATCTGGAGGACATGTGGAGAGAAACTGGCCACATGTGCAGAATTCCTTGTCCTGGGTAAATAGGTCAGGAAATCTGATGTGCAAACCTCGCATTCATATTCACATCACTCCCAGTATTTTTCTTTCCTTTTTCAGTCCTGTGGGGGCCATGGTTACTACATGCATCTGTGGAGCTGTAACAATCATGGAAAGCTTCCTGGAGAAAGTGGCAGTTCAATGAATCTTTTCAGTGAGTAGAAACAAAGAGTAAGAGAGGTAGACTGAGGGCCAGACATGCGTGTGACCTTTTAAAATGTGAATGCATTGTAAATATCTCTTCCAAATGTGCATAGAGAAGGAGGGAGAGGGAGAATGAGAAATATCAGTAAGAGAGCCACTGATAGGCTGCCTCTTGCACGCCCCCCTCTGGGGATCATGCCCGCAACCCAGGCATGTGCCCTGGCCAGGAATGTTACTGAGATCTCCTAGACCATAGGTTGATGCTCAAGCGCTAAGCCAGGCCATCCAGGCAAAGATGCTTAATTTTATATTTCTTCCAAGTTTTGCATCATTCCATGTGTAATTTTTCTTCCTCCTGATACTATACCTTTACAGGATAAAGGCATACAAAATGCCACAGGAAAAATTTGGGACATTTGGTGAACATTTGTTCTGCAGCCTTGTTGGAGGTTTCTCAAATTGTTTTCACAGGGGAATATGTAAATTTGTTTAGCCTCCCTAACTGGGAAACAGGACATCAAGCTATGGAGAAGTAACATTGCTTAATTGTGCACGCATCTATGTTCAAGACCCACAGGGAAAATTTACGCCACAGTGTATTTCACCCTCCCAAAATTGCTCTAATGATAAAGTCTGCGGTAAAATCAGATACGAAATAGCATTTCGTGGAAATTTTATTCTGAAAATTTTAACAATACAGACATTAAACTTAAACAGTTAATTTCTGTTTTTTCAATTAAATATAACACTTATGAACCACCCTGAATAACTCAAATTCTTCACCTTATCCAGAAGATTCACAGGTGGACATTGAATACCTGCCTCTTCCCCAAACAACCCTTTTTCCTTTAGTAATGCTCAAGTAACAGAAACATTTTCTTTACAAAGAAAATTAGGTACACAACTTGGTACCATTTTTAATATGTTTCAACTGTCTTTGTCAGATGGGCTTCCCCCATAATCTCCTACAGAAGCCTAATAACTTGAGCTACTATGAGATTCACACCCTGTCCCACAGATGGTGAAACTGTTGGCCTCGACTAGCACCATGCTCACGACCACGTAAAGTGCCATCACTTTGGCTGCTCGAGTAATTTTCACACCTTCCATCATAACCATCTCGCCTGCTGCTACAATAAGCATCACGGTGACTGTTTCCACCATAAGTCAGACGGGGCCCTCGTGCTGGTGGTGCTCCATGTGAGCCTCCTGGAAAGTCAATGACCAAATAACAAAACTTGAACCACATTACAAAGATTTCTTGTATCATTATAACATGACCCCCACAGACTCCCACTGTGTTATATATTTGGAAATCACATGCTCTTATCTGCCTGTGCTGAGAAGGTATCAATTATGCTGAGGGAGTCTAAGGATCTTATATTTATTTACAATAAATTTTAAGAGTAATTTTTTTAGCTTAAACAGTTGAATTTCAATAAATATTCCTGCACATTTTCTGCAAATGGGCTGAAATTCTGACTTTCATATTGTTCCTAGGCTTTATACTCTCAAATGCGCCTTCTGATTTAAAAATGTTAAAATAATTTTTCCTCATAAGGAAAAATGTGAGTCTGACCCCTTGCCCCTGAAAACAATGTATTGTTTTAAATGAGCCATTAAGAAAATAATTCAAAGACCACCAGACTAATCAAAAGGCCATACTGCATACAGATTTCCCTATGTTGAATGGAAGGAAAATTAGAGTAATGCAGCACAGTCTGGTTTATTTAATATAATTCTCTGATTGACACACCATAACTGGACTCTCACCATAACTCTTATATGAATCTCTGTAAGAGCCTCCACTTGGATATTCAGAATAATCTCTCTCACGGCTCCTGCCATACCCATCAGCATGATCCCTAAATTTAAAAGACACAGCATTAACTACGTCCAAGTTAACAACTGCCATGCGCTATTTGATAGAGAGAAAATTTTTATAATACCTGTAGCTTCTATAGTAATGCTCATCCCGAGAACACGAGAAGCCATAATCACGGTATGCACAGTCTCTAGGTGATGGGCCATAAAGTTTTCTGTCTTGGGAACATGGATCATCTCTGCTTGCATAACTTAGGGAAAGAATGCAGAAATATTCTTTAATGCACCTTCTAAGATCCAGAATACATACACACTCTGACAACAAAAAGGCAAAAATTTAAATGGATAAAAGTCTTTAACAGACATTTCTCCAAAGAAGATATGCAAACAGCCAACAAGCTCATGAAAAGGTCATCAATATAACTGGTCATTAGGGAAATGCAAATCAAAACCAAAATGCGACACTACTTTACTCCTAAGTAGGCTATAATGTATGAAAAGGAAAATATCAAGGGGTTGCTGTGGATTTGGAGAAACTGGGACCCTGAGCCCTGAGAACAGAAATGTGAAACGGTGCAGCTGCTGTGGGAAGTATGGGAGATTCCTTCAAAAACATTAAACTCTGAATTACAATATGACTCAGAAATTCCCCTCTAATTTATACACCCAAAATAACTGGATACGTGTGCTGAAGCAGTTGTACGTGAATCCTCACAACAGCCCTATGGTGGAAAAAGCACAAACAGAAGAACTGGTAAACAAACTGTGTTAACTACAACTACAACGGAATACCGTAATCAGCCACTGAAAGTGTGATGCACCTATTACTGCCACATGGATGATCCTTGGAAACATTTATGCTAACAGAAGGTCACATTCTGTTTCATTCCATTGGTATGATCTATGGAGAACAGGTACATCAATACAGACAGAATAGCGGTTGCTGTTTGAAAGAAGCTGGGTGAGGGGAGAAAATGGTCGTGACTGCTTAAGGTGAAGAGTGTTTTATTTAGGGGTGATAAAAATGTTTTGTAACTCAGTAGACGTGGTGGTGGTATACCACTCTGAATACACATTACTTAATTGTTCAACTGTAAATATATCTTTCCCTTTTAATACGTTGTTATAGATTTTGGAGAGAGTGGAAAGCAGAGGGATAGAGATACAGAAACACAGATGAGAAACACTGATCCACTGCCTCCTGCATCTCCCCTACTAAGGATCCAGTTCCCTAACCTGGCATGTGTACACACCGGGAATGGAATCAGAGACCTCCTGGTTCTTTCGTGGATCCTCAACTGCTGAGCCACATCAGCAAGACATAAATATATATACTGGTACAACAAAAAGTATCAGTTATAAATTAAGCGTTCTTATATTTTATTTTCCTTTACCTATAAGCAGTAGTGGAATCATCTCTTGGTGACATACAGTAACGTCTCCTGCAAGAGACTGGCTCTTTGCCTGGAACGCCTTCATAATTCTCTCCCCCACATGTCACTGGTCCTTTAATTGAAAAATGCTTATGTTAATATATCAAAATTGAGTCTCATATTTCTAAGAAAAACAAAAACTCAAATCACCGATTTCTTCCTTCTTTCCAAAACAATTTTTAAATTGACTCTATGATTCCATTTAGGCTCATTTTTGTACACTCTTTAAAATGATATTTTCAAATGTTGTATCTTCTGACATCTTACCCTACCTCTACATCTTGCCTAGTATTTAAAATACCATCAGTATGCAACACATAAAAAGTACAAGCAATTTAGACGACATCTCCCGCAGACATAATCAATCAAGGCCTACGTAGGTTGTTTTAAATCTTATCTGTCAGCTTTTCTCCCTGTGTATTCTTCATTATTTACTCATCCATCTCTTGACTGGATTACTTAAAGGCCTCTCAATCTTCCCTTCACACTTACTGCTTAACGTACTCTCTTATGAACTAATACATCTGTTCAATATTCAGGTCTCGTATTACTACCATCCTGGATAAAACCTTTCAATTCCTCCTGAAAAACCGCAATAGTAAGCCAAGTTATGATCATTTCGTTTCAAAATCTAGTTTCCCACTTACCTTAGAATTTTTATGCTCTACTTTCAACTACATTTACGACTCGGGATACATACACCATGCTCTCTTGTTGTGTACTTGCATATACACTCTACTACTGGCAAGGATTCCTCTAAGCATTTTAATATTTTTATTAGGCTAGTACATGCCAAACTGGTCACACATCTAAGTTTATAATTTACCACCAAATGACTGCGTCTCTCTTAAGGCTAATGCCTTTAAACATACAAGCCTAGCCTTTGTAATGATAGCAATACAGGTTTTCGGGCACATTAGCTATGCTATTTAAGGGCTCCTTTGAAGAGCACTACGCCTCTTTCAAAATACGAAATAATATTACATCTCCCACAAATAATATTACCTTTAGGTGCTAATTCTTATTCCTAATTCCCATAGATCAGCCTTTCACTTATTTTTGTGTATTCACTAGCTAACCCACTAACTGAAATGTATAGCCTTCTTGAGTATTTTCAAGTTAAGAGCCATGTTGTTCTTAGCTTCACTGATGTTCTAAACACTTAAAATATTTCCAAATAATTTCAGGTTCAAGGCCATCATGTTGGACTTTAAAACACCTCTATACCAATCTAATGATTCACTCACTCCTTCCACATATTTCACAGCTAAGGGCCCTTCTGTGATTGCTCATCTCAGAATGTCTGACTCCTTCAAGTGTGCCTTTCAAGCATCAATTTTATTCTAAAATACCATCTAAACCCACACTGACTGCTTTTCAGCTAATGACAAAACACTTATATTCTACTGATTAAGATGTAATTACTTAGTCTACATATTTCATTCCCAGGTGTAAGATCCTTGGAAGCACGGGTTATATCATGTTTGTGTTTATATATTTCTTTGAATTTTCACACAACCAACAACAATGCCTTTCACTTAAAAATTCTCAGGGTCTTAAAACTGAACTGTCCAGTATCTTAGATTAGGAAACCATTAACAAGGACTCCTTGGAAGAACTCATGTTAAAATTAAGAGTGTGTCCACCAACAACTGCATTTTAAACAAAATCCTAAGGAAAGGGTCATCAGGGTATAAAAAAAAAAAAGAAACAATGATTAATAAGGCAAGTTTCAGTTATGATGTACCTATTTGATCAGGCGACAAAATACATATCCTAACAGTGCTGTTGATCAGAATGTTCTCTCACAGGACATTAGGCTTTTCATGCAAATTTTAATCTTGAAACCACACGTAAAAGCAGCCTACTGACCACAGAAAGTTAGTAGGAAGTTTAAAAATTAAGAGGAATTCTGTATCAACATGGACTCAAAAGGAATGTTTTCCCCACTGTGGTGTCATCTACTGATTGTGTCTCAGAGGCTGAAGAATTATTTCCTAACCATGAATCAATAAATAAGATAACCATCAGTAAATATGCCCATATGAGACGCACTTTCCTTTTGGCTTCCTGAATTTAAAGTTCAGCATTAATTTTAGAACAGCTAATTCTAATCCACAAGAAACTGTTGTCTGTCTTTGCCTTACATAGCATTTACCTCAAGTTCCCATCCCAGTATTGCTTTGCCTTGAAACTGAATGGGCATATCTTTTAGGAGGACGATCCCTAGTCCTTGAAGACGGACCGCTTTTAACTGGAGGAACTTTTGTGGAGATTGAGAGTATATTCACCATTATCTGTGTTTAAAAAACATCATTTACTTACGTAGAATCAACATTTGTTAAATGGTCAGGTTTTGGTTACTGTTTATAAATCTTCACTAGACAGTACTGTGGTCATGAGAGCATCTGTTAGTCCAAACGGATAAAACCATCTCTTTATATATGACTTCAGTACAATTCACAGAGTTATTGTAAAAGTCAGTCTGTAAGACCTAGAAAAACCTCCAGCAGCATTTTATACTGGTGTGAAAGAAACATATTTGGGGTAAAGAAAATCGGGATAAAGCAAATGCACAAATAATTCTTAAAGATACGAGGAAAACATCGTCAATGACACTTCAGGTAAGTCTGATGTCAAAAAAAGCTTTTACAATATGTAACATCATAGTTATAAATAAAAACATTAAAACACTGAAAAGACGGTGCATCAGAAAAAGGTATTCCCTAAATAAAATATTCACAATTCTTACAGTGAATTTACAAAATAATCCTAATTTTTAATGTAAAGACTACGCTTGGCCTGGCCTGGGAGGCTCAGTAGTTGAGCACTGACCCATGAACCAGGAGGTCACGGTTCCATTCACGTTCAAGGCACATGCCCGGGTTGTGGGCTTGATCCCCAGAAGAGCCCTGCAGGAGGCAGCCAATCAATGACTCTCTCATCATTGATGTTTCTCTCTCTCTCTCTCCCTTCCTCTCTCCAAAATCAACAAAAACATATTTCTAAAAAATACATATTGAAAAATTAAACATAATTTTCCCTCTTTAAGTATAAAAATGTTAATGTTCCAATTTCCTAGATTTGTCTTAGGTAAGAAAAAAATGAATATCCACATACATGGCAAAATACAAATTGGTAACTTCTTCTCAAGTTCACCTTAGTGGTACAAACAGGGCCATTTACCTTAAAGTTGGGCAAACTCTGCAATTCTAATTTAGGAAACTTCTCCTAAAAAGTCACACATCTAATTATCAAAAACAGACACTAAATCTTTGATTTTTTGGAACACCGGTTAACATGAACAAAGTTTTTATGTTACATAGTCTGGTACATAGATAATTTTCAAGTGAAAGGTGACATCTTTCAATACTGAGTACTTTGCAAATCTATATAAATCTGTACATGTCTCCCTTCTGTAGTTTCCCAATTACAAAGTTCCCAATACCAAACCGTGGTAGAAACTCCTCACATCAGAGTAACAACAGAGATTGGTTTGGCACATTTATGTACTTAAAACAAGTATTTCAAGGTCAATCCTCAAATATGAAGTGTTTATCTTTGAATTGTGTGTATTTAGACTGAGTTTTACTTTGTTGTGTCGTTTTCAAGATGCCCTAATGTCTTTTATGATGAAAGAACTTTATTTTCAGAATAAGCAAGCAAATGTATTCTTAACAGTTCATTACGTATGAAACACCACTTGAAACTTATATAAACTTCTTGGCGCCAAAGTGGAAAATTCTAGCACATGATTAATAAAAATGAGTCGTGCAGAGAACTGTTCAAGTGAATAGAGAGGGAAAGAGTAATAATGGTTAAAAGAGACTGAATTTAGCTTGAAGTTTATGTCTTTGCCTTGAAAGGTGATTAGGATTGTTTTGCACATTAGTTACTTAATTCATTTTTATAACTGCAGTAATTCTTTAGCATTTACAAATCATCTTGATCATCACTGTTAATTCCTAATCTAATGAATGTTATCTTTTATTTTGCTTATAAAATATATAAAATTTGAGATAGTTCTAGTCATTCTAAAATACTCTTTTGCGCCTCTGGTTTCATACTTACATTTTATTTTTTATTCGTTTTTAATTGTTTTAAATATTTGACTTACTGTTTCTCCATCTTTTCTCTTTTCCTGAATTTATGGGGACTGCACTGGTTAACACATATTTACATAGTGTACAATTCTATGATACATGCAACATCTGCATCTTGGATTGTGTGTTCACCTCTCCAAGTCAAGTCTCCTTCCATCCCGATATTTTAAAACATTACCTAAGGGTTCTCCACCAGAGGGACAGCCTTTTGCTCCACTACGTCCTCCTCTTCCACGTCTCAGACTTCTCACATGACCTCTGTTTCCTGAAGGAAGCGGTGACCTCCATCTACCACCACTTTCAAAAGACGGCTTATTGGCTTGCTCTACTTTAATCGCTTTTCCATCCAAAGACTAAAATGATTACACATAACATCAACGTTACATCACATTTAACTCAAACAAATGAACAACTTCTACAAACCTACTTTTACTGCAACTAAAATCTAGCTCAACATCAACTTATTTTCCCAAACCAAATTTTTTCTTCAAAAATGATTGAGTCCTTCATCATGGTAAGTTTAGGAAATATTTAACCAGTAACTGCCTTCCATTAAGTGATCCAACACAGAACCATAAACATTGATAATTACAAGTCCTCTAGCCTGGCCTGTGTGCCTCAGTGGCTGAGTGTCCATCCCAGAACCAGGAAGTCACTGTTCAATTCCCTGTCAGGGCACACGCACAGCTTGCAGGCTCGATTCCACAGTTGGTGGCGAGCAGGAGGAAGATGATTGATGACTTTCTCTAATTATTGGTATTTCATTCTCTCCCTCCCCCTCCCTTCCTCTCTCTGAAATCAATTTAAAAAGAGAAGAAAAGAAAAAGTCCTGGAAATGCCCTCTAGTAGTAAAAATGGAGTAAATTTACCACCTCTGTTACTGAAGTAGAACTTTTTATTTGTAAGGCCGTCACAGGGAAGACTAGTTTTTATCAAATCCAAAAAATAAGGCTTAAAGTAACAATATGATATACTGGGAGTATCTCACAAAATAACAGAACCAGGAAGCATATTGGGATAATGTAAGGAATATATGTAATCCCCTAAAGGGGCCATAAGGGAGTGACCTTGAGGGCAATATTAAGGAATTCTTATTTAACAATCACTGAAAAGTGAAAAGGACATAGGAGACACATATAATGCCTAGATTTTAAGATCCAGGAGGAACAAGACTATTTTAATCACTAGTACATTAAAGACTGTATCAAAATAAACTATCAACCACTCCTGTAAAATAAATCATGATATATACATTTTACAAAAATCACTCTGGTTACAGGATGAAACAATTCTTAAGTTAGGGACAGGACGGTCCCTTACTTATGACAACCACCACCTACCTGCTCATGTCATTTCCTGTCTTCAAGAAATGAGTACCTATTTAGAAGGTAAAGGGCCCACTCAAATAGTAACCTTTTCAAGACATTTTTCCCAAAATAATGAGAAGTCCTCTTTCCCTACTTGTCTTTGTGGACTTTTTTTTAATGCTACAGAAATGTCTGCATCAATTGCAATACCTTTTAATAAAACAATGATCTTATTTCTGCTGTAATTACCTTCGTGAGGGTTTATTCTAAGTTTTCAACCTCTTTGAAGGCTGAAGCCTTTTTACATTTGTATTCATGTATCAAACTAATTAAGTTTAATGTAATATTTTGCTAATGCTAAAGTTCATTTCAATCTCCTTTCAATCCCACTCTCCAGTACTTATGTGACAAAAAGAAAAGTATTGGCTAAGTAACCTTGGCTTATAAAGCATCATCTACCTTCAAAAATTAGAAAAACACAAGGTACCTAGAAATAATATTAACAGACGTACAGAGCTACAACATTATTAAAAGTCTTACTTTTCCATTCATAACTCTGGCAGCATCCTTAGCATCTTCAGGGCTCTCAAAAGTAATAAACGCAAAGCCTCCTGACCTGTTTGTTCCTCGATCCTTTATCAAACGAGCTGTAATTCAAAGTTTAAAATGAATATGGTTCACAAAGTTTAACTTTTCCCGTTTTCCGAGTCACCAAGTCTCTGAGAATTTCTCACAAAGCCTCTCAATTTAATATAATGGACAAGGCATAGTAACAACCCTCTGAAAGTTATTTAACAAAATACAGTGTGTTGCTTCATTATTAGCTTTCTAAAAATCTGCAGTGAATAGAGTTAACCTAACTTATCCCCTGCCATGGCCTAAGTCCACAACATATTTACAACTTCTTCTTTTTCTTTCTTAATAAGAACACATTAAGTGGAACTTTTAACTAACCACCATGAGAGCTTTCACAACACAACATAGAAACTTACAGAAATTGTTCATACGAGTTTGAAGAACCAAAAAATGCTTTCAATTTAAATGGTCAATGATTTGTGTTTACCATACATTTAGTCTGAGCAGGTAGGCATATTGGTTCTAAGAGTTACCGTCTATTATGGGACCAAATTTTCCAAATACTGCTTCAAGAGTTTTTTCGTTGGTCTGGATACTGAGCCTTCCTACGAAGAGCTTCTCAGGCCTATCTGCTCCCACCATTGTGCTGTAAGTGGTTAAAATATGCACATAGCAAAAATAAGATATTAGCCAAAGAATCCAATTTAATTACAAAGAGCTTCTAACAGTCAACTGAAGCATTGTACAAAAGCTTTTTTTTTTTTAATTACCTGAAATTTGTAACTTACATCCCCAAATGAGCAATGATCTAACACATAAATGCTCCACTGTTCCAGACATCTGGTAAAAATTGAGGGGTTACATTTGGCTGCAATCCTAGTGAGATGATGGGGTGTTGTGTACAGGTCACTTTTTAAACATGTATTTTTAAACCTAAATAAGTGGTAAGGAAATTGTTTGTAGAGTCTACACATCAAACAGTTAAAATATTTTAAGTTCCATGACGTACTTTGTCAGCGTAAGAAACCTGTAAACCTGTAAAGAATTTTTGTGAGTTAATTTGCGGCAAAGTGTTGGCAATTGCCAGGAACTAAAACCTCAACACATTGAGATAATGTTCTAGAAAATGGCAGTTCTGTACATTAATTTACATGTTATAATTAAAAGATGTAAATGGGTTACATGAAATTCACTGGTGATAAGTTAGGGAGGCAGGAGAGAGTAGAATGGGGAAACCTCTGGGATTAGGTGAAAAGTAAAAGGATTTGTTGTTTATATAGGTGGCTATAGGACTGTTAATAGTCAACAACACAACAAAGTAATAACATGAGGATTTGTAGTTTCTGTCCTGGTGTATTGGCTGTGTCTCCAGGGTCCAGAAAAAGGGAAGTTACCCTGACATTGCAAAGACATGTTATTATAAAGGCAAAAGACAACAGACAGGCTTAATTAAGGTAAAGATTGACTTTTGTCCGGGATGATTCCGGTCTAGGACATGACTACTGGCCATAAACTGCTTTTAGTGAGAAAGTTTTAATTTCAGACCATCCTATGTAGCTACTTGTCTCTGAGTTTGCAAGGCCCCTGCCAGGCCTCCGCTGAGCTTCCGAGGGTAACATATGGACCCCTTTCCTCCACACACTGAGTGCCCCACCCCCAAAGACCATTCTCTAGGTTACCCACCACTCTTAAGAGCACCTGAAATCACTTTGTTGTTAGTGTTAAGACTTTGGCAAACACTGGTTAAAGAGAAAGACGAAATCTATGCAGGAGGGGTAAGGGAACTTTCTGAGGGAAAGGTTTCCAGACCAAAATTTGCTGAGAGTGAGGCCCTTATTCATCTATACATAGTAAGGACATGAGTACAATTCCTTTCTTTCTTTTCTCTTTTCTTTATTCTTCCTTTTTTTTTTTTTTTACAACTCCTTTCTTAAACACATGTCAGCTACACCTGTAAATGAAACAGTCTTGTAACTGTGAAAGTACAAACGCCGGGAACCTGAGGTAAAACACAGAAGCTGATTCTTCCATAAAAACAGCTACCAAACCAGTCAGAAATACCAATGTTAATGGCTGATGAAGGGGATAGATGGCAGATGAAACAGAGGACATACAATATATAGTTGCCAGATGCCAGACTAATTTATAGATGGTAAAAGATGACATATACCCAGGTAGTTTGTGGAAGACAGACCGAGAAAGAGGTAGACAGAAAGCAAATTTCCCTCATCAGGTTTTCTTACCCCGCCTACAAGGGCGTGTCACCTTCATTTCCTCTTTTCCGTGCGGCTCTTCTCGCGATAACATCCGGGATTCTCAGCTCCGTCCATCCGGTGCGTCCTCACCTCAGCCGCTGGTTAGGCAGGTTTTTCTGGGCTGTTATGCCATGGCGTCGGTCAGTATGAGGCAAACAAGGTAAGGGATTCAGAATGTTGAGCACAAAATACAGATTCATGCCACAGCTGTGCCGTGGCATCGGAATAGCGAGACGCGGTCATGTAGACTCTGATTTCCTGTCAGGCTTTTTCAGTGTCGTAAGAGCGGAGGGCGCTGTGTGAGCATAATCGGGTAAGTGCGTGTGACGCCTGCGGGCCTTAGGGGCGGGGGTGTCTCCCGAAGACGTCCTTTACTT